CATGATCTGCTAGTTTGAAAAGCTTTTTTTATTTTTTAAAATTCGAGCTACGCTTTTTTTGCCATTGCCATTTGCCCTTCACACAATAAAACTGAGGGGTGTTGGTCACCAACAAGGACCATGACTTACAAAATAAACACGCTGTATTAACTAAGGCTGAGAACTGGTGATTGAGTCCATGAACGCATCAGGGAATCATTTCTTGAGGTTAGAAAAAGAGGGCGCTAAGAGGCATTTTCCTATAAACTTCTATAAAACAGGCAAACACCGAAGTCGCCCCCTGCTGGTCATTAGAATAAATGTAGGTTTAGGGTATGCCCATCTTTTTAAAAAGTTTACAAAATCTTGTGGTAGTGGCGTTTCTGCAGCTTTAGTGACAACAATACAGACTCACCTCAACTTTTATAATCAGTTATACTTGGACACTCACTGACACACATTTTACAGCTGCCGTTCAAATACAAGAGCTTCTGTCAAAGTGTGACAACAGTAAAATTCCTCTTTGTTCTCCGGACTGCTCGAGTAAGTCCTGGGTTCTGGGGACGCAGGAGCACTTTTCACTTTTCCCCCAGTTTCCATAATAAAAGGAACCCACACTGTAGTTTTTCCTCAGCAAAGTAAAAAAAAGCAGAGATCTTCTTTCCATCGCTCAGTGTGATGAATGACTTTGGGAGAACAGATTTATGCCATCATATCAAAGTCGTCCCGCTGCAAAAGAAACACAGTGATGAGCTTCAAGGCATCAGAATTCGGATTCAGTCCTGAAAACTGTCGATTTAAGTAACAGATAATCATTCGTAACTGAAATATGTACATACAAACTCTGACAAATCACTCACCTCTTCATTGTAATTCATCACGTGCTGCTTGATCTTCGAGGAGTCCACCCACGTGACGAAATCTTCCATATTTCTTACATTTAAAAAAGTTACAGTAATAGTGTCAGCATTTTCACATGTGCAGTACAGTGAAGCATCTGTGTCAAAGGCCCTCTGTGTTGGTAAAGATATTGTGAGAAGACTAAATACCCGGAGACCAACCTTGTGACTAGAAACGCTGGGTCTGTAACAATATCCGGGCCAACACGCACATCTGTGACTGAGTCAAGGACAACACTGAATCTGTTTTAATCCTTGAATGAAGACAAATCTGAAGTGTTAAGCATAACAATTTACAGTAACACAGCAGTCAAGGATACGCCCTTGTTCGATGAAAGTAATTGCCGTCTTCAGGTTCTGAGCCATACGAAGATTCAACATGATGCTGGGCAGCCGCCTCCTGCAGGAATCACACAGACAAAGTATACATAGAAGCTTGCATTTATACACAGCACTGTATAAAAGCCTCAAGCCACCTCTCATTTCTTTATATTTTGCTAGGAAGATGAGAAATACATGCAGAGATTTAATGAAACATGTCCAAACATGCATTGAAATACAGTATATAATAAACAGTCTGTACAATTCTAACAAACTTGAAACTCAAAATTTGACCACCTTCATGCTTCAACATAGCTTGCTTGTCATTTCTTTGTGTTCAGGAATATTTCTCCTTGCTTCTGGAAGAACATTCAAAGCTCTTCCTTGGATGTTCGCTGACGTTTGTTCTGTTCTCTATCAAGATGATCACACACTGAGATCCAGACTCTGGGGAGGCCAATCAACGACTGATACTGTTGCATAGTGTGTTCTTCTATCCAGGTATGGATAGAAGCCTTGACTGGCAAATGAAGCCATTGCCAATCACCTGTTTTCCAAGTGGTACTGCATGGTGGATCAAAATCTGATGGTAGTTTTCTGTGTTCATAATTAAATGAAATTTGACAAGATCCCCAACACCACTGGCTGAAATGTAGCCTCAAATCCAGGAGTGGCAAAAGAGCCTTTATGCTTGAACAGTTCATAAGTCAGTTTTAAGTGGCTTAGCAAAACAAAATGATCAGGCACAAGCACTGGACTAAGAATGAGTGAAAAAGCAGCCAATCTCCAATAAGGAACTTTCAGAAAGCCTGTAGAACTTTGCATAAGACCATTTTAAAAATTACATGAAATTCTGGCGCCTCAGAAACAAAATATAAAAAATGAGGAGCACCTCCAGACTTTTCCACAGTACAGTACACTTTATGAGTTTAAGATATACACATAAATGTACCTGCAGAATGAAGAAGCTGTGACTTTCTCTGTGAGGGACAAATTCTGTCTGGTGGGGATGAGACCAATGCTGTATCTGAGGTGAAGGAAGAAAAAGATTCTCTGTGTAATATCAACAAAGGTTTAGAAAACAATAAACAACACAGCAATCAAAATCTGCTCAAAACCAAACAGGAAACAAGCGCAGAGTTAAAAGATGTCAGCTTGAATTAACATTAAGAGGATTTTATCCATATTAAATAACTGTAATATCCAAAACCTTACAGTTTTTCCAGTAATCGATGTGTGCTCTGTGCTCTGAAGCCATCTTTCTCATCCAGGTCTCTGATTTTTCTGGCCAGGTCTCTGACATTCCGACTGAGCTTGTTGTACCTGAGGCACAGGAGGAAAAAAATGTTATGGTGTCTGTGTGATTTGTAAATATCAGCTGAAATATGGTATAAAAATGTGTTTATACGTCTATACAGTGTAAATAACCGATGCTAAAAGCTAGCTAGCAGCCACAGACTCACTTGGTGTAGTCCTCCCTTTTCTCGATGTGATACTTCCGCAACACCTTCACCTCGTGCAGGTTGTTGTCCACCTCCCAGTTGATGAAGTCGACCTTCTTCAACAACTTCTGTTCGTGATACTTTAATTTACGAACCATTTTCACAGCGTTTCACGCCACCTCTGGAGAAACAGGAAGCACGTGCTGTTATTTTTCTTCTTCGTCATCGAGAACTGAAGGTGGTGGCCCGCAACAGCGCCCCCACCCCGCAACCTGACAAAACACGGTAGCACAGATGATAAATCTGTGCTACCGTGTTTTATTGTAACAGAAACCTCGTGGTTTTTTAAAATAATAATTTTTAATACTAATGTAATCGTAATCGTTGCTTACTCACAAATATCAAATGTGATTGGGAAGTCACTCTAGGTTGTTATTATTAGAGTTATATATAAATACAGACCATTTACCATTTATTTACCATTTGTAGAAATAACAGTAATTAAAGAATAAATGTACTTATGTAGCAAATCTGTTTTAAAGCAAGTTCCTTCGATGTATGAATTTTTAAATTACTGATAATATCTGAATTCTTTTTTTTTTTACAGCCCAGTAAATGTTAACAGATAGCTCTTGAATCAGAGGGGAATTGAAGTGCTTTAAATAACTATTCCAGCGAAATATGGTGTAAAGCTGTGCATGTGAATATCGTTTTAGTGATTAGCCTTTGTTAGGGGTATTTATTACATTTTATTATGTATATTTAAAAAATATGTTACATATGTTGAGGACAAAAGAGGGGCCTTTGGTGAGAAACTGTTCCCCCTTCGGTGTATTCTTGTTTACTTTGTCATATTTCGGCAGGTGTCACCAAACTTCTAAACTGAGTCCTTCTCAGCTACACGTGGGTTCATTCATTGAGCGTAGCCTCCAGAGGAGGAGGCACCGCGTCTGCTATATGCGTAAAAATCAAAAGCGTGCCTTGAATTACAGCTGAGACAGCTATGCTGACTGTTAGTTTAGCGCCATGAGAGTCAATCTTTAGTAAAGAGAAAGCGAGGACAGGACCATCAAGAGTGCGGGCGCCCACATCCTGTCATCTACACCCTAAGCTGAGCTCCAGACCCACAGGTAAGTTTCACCGAGATAAGAATTTGCTGTTTAAAAAAGCCTGTTAAACATCCGATTGTCTGCGGAGACATCTTTTGTGGCTAACTTTAACAGTGAACACCTTCTGCTTCCTTTTTAAATCTGTGAAGATGCCTTCAGAGACACCGTGTTTCACTATCAGCAACATTTGGGGGAACCATAACCAGCACATACGTCTTTAATTAAACAACGGGGCATTCACTCACTCTAACTTTCACACCTTCCCTTCACATGTGGGTTTGCCCTTCAACAGGTCCGCATCCTTACGAGTGTGATGTTTGCTCAGCTTAACTACCGCCAAACAAATACGTCAAAGTTTTCTGGTGATGGAGGTCAGCTCTGCTCCACGTCACTATATGTAATATTACTCCTTTTCTCAAGATATCAGCAGAGCAAAGCTCCACTTTAGACTTCATTTCTTCACACTGACTTGGAAGTTCTGCCAGTGCTGTGCTACCCTGTCCTGTTGTAGTGAATTCTCTGAAAATCTAAAAGCCCCCATATGTGGCACAACGTCTCCAAACACTGTCCCTTTGAGTCCGGGTTTATGCGCTTGAGCGGGAGTAATGCGTTGGCAGTTTCGGATTTCCCGTGAGCGTGCGGAGAGCGTTTGTTGTCTATCAGCTTCAGAATCAAATACGCGGAATAACCGGTTTGTGGGTAACTCTTCCTGGTGCTGTTGTCGGTCTGCCCGTCAGTCCCTGAAGTGGGAGCGAGTGCTGAAAGGAATTAAAAGTGTCCACCGTCTGTGCTTTTTCGTGTTTTATTTTTTATGATTCTTGCTTCTCCCGTTCCCGGTGAACTCCGCTGTCGCTCCTTTCCGGCCCACTCATCAACCAATCAGCACTCAGACAGGCAAGCAGACGCAAAGATCATTCGCATCCAGAACTGTGCGTTTGAGATATTCGCCCCCAAACGAAAAAGCGCACGCACGTCTTAAACTGATAATGTGTCTTGAAAAAGTTAAAAAGTGTAAACAGCTCAGTTTGTAACTTGATCTCAATGCTGAGCTGAACCTGACTGTTGAGTGACAGCTTGATACTCAGTGATACTCAATGAGATGCTCTCTATGGCAGAGAAGAGCTGTTCATAAACTCATTTCAAGGAGCTGGCAAAAGATTTCCTGTTCTCTCGTGTGAATCTGCGTGGGTTGTTGATAAGTCTGTGACAAATTAATGTTGATGTCTCATTATTCTGTTGCAGATAACTTTAAATATCAATTTTTTTTACTGTAGGAAATGTGTTTCATTAATGAATTTGTATTTCTAAATAGTCTCATCTACTGTATATTTACCAGCTGTGATAACAATGTTGGTCTTTTCACATTCCCAATCTGCATGTGTGCTAAAGCACTTAAAACTTCCTGGTGTACTTCCTGTAACAGTAGCTGTCACCAGGGTATCATGAGTCACGGGTACTCTGACATGTGTTTACAGTACGGTACAAAAGTCTTGAGTCACTGCCCATTTCTATAATTTTTTTCTATATATTTGCAGAGTTCATTCTAACCTTTAAAGGGGCCTTGAACAGCAGACCTCCAGGCTTTCTAAGGTCTTTCAACATCCATCTTTTTATTTTCAGAGAAATTGGTTTGTTAAGTCATTTTACACTGACCTATGCATGATTCAAGCATAAAGAGGCACCTAAGTTTAAGGATGAACCAGTGTTGTATCTACACAAAACAGATAACGTAGAAAAGAACCAGCTTTAAATTGTATCTTTAGGCATCCCCTTTTAAGAAAAGTCAACATTTTTAATTGAATCAGTGAAAAACACCACAAATAGCAGAGTTTGACAGAAATAAAATAATATTTTTGTACCAATAAGGTGATTCCCAAAGAACTATAAGCTGAAAACATGGGATATCTCAACATCGTGTACAGTGTGTTCTTAGAAAAATGTGAGGCGATCAAACAAGTGGAGGACAAGGGAAAAAGCATCCGCCCTGAAAAACTATCTACCGCAGATCATCAGTATCTGAGATTCATGTCCTTAAGAAATAGGAAAATCCAGCAAAGACCTCAAACAGGACCTGCAAGATGCATCTGGCCCTTCAGCTGATCCTACTGTTCACTGAAGCCTCATCAGTAACATTTAAATATTTGGTTTAAATGATCATCAAGGAGGAGAAGGTCTGAAGACACTGTAAGGCTCTGTTGGGAGTAAAGCTAGTTAGAAGTGTACAAGCTCTCTTTTTGCCTTATATGTTGTATGTTCAGTTTGCATCTTTCAATAAATAGTTGGCCCTAGTTCCCATTTTCTATATAAAACACAAAAAATTAAGTGTGACTCGAGAATTTTGCACAGTACTGTAAGTATGTCTGTGGGCAGAATTTCCAACTCCTCCAAACTGCAAAGCAAAATGCAATCAGAAAGATTTACAGGTGTGTAGTATTGGTCAGAATAAAAGTGACGTCTGAAGGTTGGTAGGGTCTGAGTCACTCTTTGCCTCAGTCTCCAATTTTTTATCATTCCTTATGTCTTTGTATTCATGTATTTATTGCCCTCCATATGAGATGTAGATACAACGTTACAAAGATAAACATGGTCCAGATCCATCGTAGGGGTAGCGCAGAGAGACAGGTAACAATTTAAGCTGATATTCATGAAGCACCTAGAAAACATGCAAATTTAATTCAAAGAGGCTTGAGCCAACCAGCTGTTTCACAACCAGAACCTTCCTGCTGCTGCGAGGCGACAGCGCTAACCACTGCACCACCAGCCAGCAGATCAATATTATTTGCACGTAGCAAAATGCCAGAAAGGTGAACTGTTCATGGTAATTACATTATAGTTTTGTCTAAGTCATTCAAATATTCGAATTAAAATTAATATGACTTAGTGGAGAATAGTTTTCTTTATCTAGGTAAAAGTTTGCCTTTAAATTGGTTTGCATATAGAAATATAACCTTTCTTTACATCTTTTAAACCTTGAGCTGTAACAGTGAGACATTTTTAAGGTTGTAATACTAATGATGTTACTAATTTGAACGTGACACGATCACATACTGTATACTGTCCATTTTCTTTTCATTCATATGTAGGTTAAGCGTGAGCATATTTACATCTGTAATATTCGGGCTGCAGTGGTTAGCATCGTCACCGCACAGCAACATGGTCCTGGGTTTGAATGCACCAGCTAGCTGGTGCTCTTTTGTGTAGAGTTTGCACACTCTCCCATGTCTGGGTGGGTTCTCTCCAGGTACTTCCTCCCACACTCTGACGACATGCATGTTAGCTTTAGTGATTCTAAAGTGGCCATAGATGTCATCGGGAGTGTGAAGAGGACCATCACTTAAGAAAGTGGATGGATGGACGTGAATAAGCAAGAACACAGATGACACTACCTAAAAAAAAAGTTTGAAATATAGTTGGAGAGAGTTGGCAGAGTGTGTTGGGTGTAGACACTGCAGGCTGTAAGGAGGGCACTCACACACACACTGACACACACAGAAACAGAGAGGGACTGTGCAGCCGTGCCCCTCTGCTAAGCAGAGCTCCTACATAAAGAGGTCACTGTGCTGAAAACATAGCACCTCCTTCTCTGCCACCACTTCAAGGCATTCATCTAGGCTAGTTGTACATCCCTTTTTGAAAAAACTAAATAGAATTTTTAAACTAAATCCCTGTTCAAATACAGCACATATAAATGCTTCACAGCATAACAGAGTCACAAGTTTGCTCTGGCATTACTTTTGCTCGAGGTCCGTTTGTTTGAGATGATGTCATGAATCAGTAAGAACAAGAAGGAACTGCAAACTGTGTGTGAGTCAGATTCGGTGTGCGTAATTGTCTGAAGACAGTGGAGAAACAGAGACCTCGCTGTTAACAGGGATTAACTAATAATCGTGCTGTGCAAACAGTCCACCTGAGCCGATCCCACACTTTCACCTTGTGAGAAAATGAGCAGTTCCTCCTACTACTTGAAGGTGAGCTGACTCTGTGAGTCTTGTGATGAAGGCAAGTGGACGATGCCTCAATTTGGAAATAAAAGATAAAAGAATGAGGACTGCTTCTCTTCAGACGCCCCAGATGCCAGAGTCAGGAGACGGGTTAGTAATTGTCTCATCACTGTCAGCTAAAGGTTCACACTTGTATAATTCACTCATGTATAAAATCCTTCCTAATTTTAAATTATTCATTTAAATTTTAGGACTTTACAATTTGCTGTGCTTTTTCATCTTTAAGCCACAAACCTCTGACAAGTTTAGACGAGAAATGATTTGTATTTTTTTATAAATGACACCTGTGACAGCTGCCATCGAATGTTATTAGAATTCTGGTGCGAGTGTGGATAAGTAGTGCACAGCTATGTCATTAGCCAGGGTAGATGGAGGCTATGGTTTTCCAGCTGGTCGTGTAACAGTTTCAGCAGTGGTTGACCGACACGTTCCTCTCCTGCACTAAATCTGCACTTGTCTTGCTGGAGGACAGATTTCCAATAACAAGACAAAGGAAAGGTGACAGCTGTTTCCGACATGTTCCCCATTACGTTTTATTGTTAGACTGTGTCTGTGAAGGACCAGTCACAGCCTGTTAATCCTCAGTCTCTTCCACTGTTGTCTCGTGCATTTCTGCAACTTCTTAAGTGTTCGAGGCAGAAGTCAATTTCTAGCTCAAGGACACTGCAGCAGCCTTGCTCAGCGTGTCAGGACGCTCTCTGTGAGTCCTTATGTTTGTGTGAACAAGCTGAATGAACCTTTCAGTTCACTCTTCTTTTTTTCATTTTCTTCCTGTCCACCCTAAAAGGCTCCTTCACTGTCTCTCTGCAGAGTCGAACATTCCTCCACAATGGCGCTTTCCTCCAGGCTAAAATACGTGTCTCTGGGGGTTCTGGTGCTGCAAACCACCCTGCTGGTTCTCACCATGCGCTACTCCCGTACCCTGAAGGAGAACGGTCCTCGCTACCTCGCCTCCTCTGCCGTAGTGTCAGCTGAAGTGCTCAAGATTTTTATGTGCACTCTCCTCATCTTCAGTGAGAACAGTGAGTAAGGAGGAAAATCAGTTTTGGATCCTACTTGGGTAGAAAATCCCCAGTCTAGTTAATAAACTTCATAGGTTGAAAAGTACCCCACATGATTTAGCAGGTTGCAGAACCACCTTTAACAGCACGAACTTGTAGCACTCGTTTTCTAAATTACTGACAGCGCTCTCTCTGTTTCTCTTAGATTTTAGCTTGACGGCAATGTACGAGCTGCTGAACAAGGAGATTCTGAACAAGCCCGTGGAGCTCGTGAAGCTGGCCGTTCCTGCAGGGATCTACACTCTGCAGAACAATCTGCTCTATGTTGCCCTGTCCAACCTGGACGCAGCCACCTATCAGGTTACATACAAATGAATGAATGTGCTTGTTCAAGCTCACTGAGTTTGTGTGCGTGAACTGGTTTCTTTATGGTTTCACATGGCTGGTTTGTATTGTGTACATTTCTGCATTCACAATGTACAGTGGATATCCTGGTAAATATTTACATAAATCTATCTCACAGATGTCATCTGTTCTAATCTCATAAGGCTTGTTTGATTAATTTAAGTGGTACTAAAGCTATACCCTCTGCTATATTCTGTAAATATTAAAGAGGAAAATGCTAGTTATTGAGTTTTGGAACACTGGAAAAAATCATAAAACATATAAAATATGTTTGTTTAAATTAAAGCTTCACATCCCTCATTTCTAAAATGATGTTTTTTATAAATAACATTTATAATTGGATGTGAACAAACTCTCTAGTGATCTAAAAAAAACAATAAACCAAAAAAACATACTTTGGAAAACAATTCAAACTGACTGAAGCTGTTTTGTGAACTTGGAAAATTAATTTTAAAAATAATTTAAAAAAATACAGACGACTAGCTGGTAAAAAGACCATGTTCACTTTTCTTCTTTGTCACAAAGTAACCATTTTCAAATGAACACCAAGATTTATACGTTCATGACATCCAGTTCCAGTTTCTGTCCTTTTTCGCATATACGCAAATGAATAACGCAATAACATTTTTAAGTAGAATTGTGAGACTATTATTACCCAATTAATAATACTACCCATTTGTCCTTGAGCACTAAAAAACCTGAAGAAGAAAGTGAATAAGAGGCACTTGGGAACATTTAAGATCATCCTTTTAACAGCAACTCAGTGACAAAAACCTTGCAAATGAAGCTGTCCCAATGATGCACAACAAGTTCAATGTTTATTTCCGGAGTGCGAACACGTGTCCTCTTATCTATCACAGAGAGGATTCTTAGAAATGGCGTGTCTCTTCCATTTTTAAACAGATCTGTCCTGACCCCTGCACAGTGGGCTGCTGAATGAAAGGCATCAAAGTACAGATGAAGAATTAAGAATACAGTAGATCTTCCAAAAGAACGAGAAGTAGCTGGAAAGAAGATTTCTGGATATGAATGCATTTTCTGTAACTGTGGCATTTCTATACTACCCATTATTGTGTGCTAAACAGTGTTGGGACTAACGCGTTATTAAGTAACGCGTTACAGTAACTACGTTATTATTGTGGTAA